TTTTCTTAGGTACTTTAACTCTTTGTAGTGCTAGTTTTAGACTCTCAAATAGAACTGAGCCAAATGCTTTTTTTATGTCTTGTAGGAGTATCCATACTTCTTTATTCTTCTCTTTTGCTTCTTCCATTATCATGTTGAGAATATGTACCAGTTGTTCTGTTGAGTTGCCTGGAAGGTCTGCGTAATTTGGTCCTTTGAGTATTTCTTTTTCTGTAAACACTTTGGCAAGCCTTTTTGTTACCACCTTTGTTACAACTTTCCTAAATATTTCTATTAATGCTATTGGTCATATATTGTTTAAACTATATCTCCACTCAACATCTTTGGGTATTGGGTAAACTTGTGCTATCTTCTATTTCATTGGTATCTTTTCTTCTTCTAGGCATAGGTCTGCAAAGCTTCTAAATATTTCTTGTATTTTCTTTCCTGCTTATTTTATCAGGATGTAACTTATGCCTAATATGCCTGGAGCTGTTTCTGTCTTTAGTTCTCTTAAAGTTTCTTTCCATTCTTTTTCTTCAATTTTTCTTTTCACTTCTGTATACCATTTCTCTTTGATGTTTCCTTATGGTTTATATATTTCTTTTTACTCTTTTGACATCTCTTCTAATCCTGTATTTCTTTTCCTGAATTGTTTTTTGTAATGCTCTGCTACTTCTATCCTAACATCTTCTGGACTTGTTAGTAAATTTGCTTTTTCTTCAGTTTGTATGATAACTCTGTCAAGTGTTATCTTCTTATAAGGCCTATTCAAGAGACTTGCTATCATCTTTTCCTGATTTGTTTTGATCATTTCACATCTTTTATCTATATTTTCTTCTATTTGGTTTTTTTGTATATGCTCCCAGTCCATCTTTTTCTTTTCTACTAATAGCTTTCTCCAACCTTTTATATCTTCTATCCATGCATTTGATCATTGTCTTTGTAGTTTTGGCAATTTTGCATTGATTTTCTTGCTTAGTATTTTTAATTGTTCATTCACTTCACTTCTTTCCTCCTCTGTTACAGCTTGTGTTTTCTTCACTTTTGCATACTTGATTAGTTTCTGTAGCTTGACAATGCTTTTTTCTTGTTGCTGTTCCTTTTGACTTCTTCTTCTATTAGTTGTCATGTTAAATACTTTTTTCTTAGATATATGTTTACTTGTTACTATAATAATAGCTTTTTCTATTATGTTCCATATATTGTTTATCTTCTCTGTTTTCCTCTTCTCATTTTGTTCTTTCTTGTGAATGTTTTTTAGAACTTCTTTTCTTTCTAGCCAATTTTGCAACTCTTGTGCATAATTTTTACAATCTTCTAATTTTGCTTGATCATATAGATATATTGTTCTTGACTGTTTTTTCCTTTTAATCTCTGCCTTGCTTTTAGTTGCTATCATGTGTTTGATCCATATTTCTATTGTTACTATCTTGTAGTCACTCTCTGTAACTTCTTCTGCCTTTTGTAAGTCTGAGGCTAAACCATCCAATATCCATATATAATCAATTCTTGTTGCTACTTCTCCATTTGACCACATGTACTGCTAACCTATTGGATTCAAGTCTCTATATGTGTCTCTAAAGTTTTGGTTCTTCATCCAATTGAAGATTAGTAGTCTTTTGTAGTTTGTTGTTTGTAGATGTTGTCTGTCTAGAGTATTGTTTACTGTATGATTGAAATCTCCTATCACAATAAATTGTGTTTGTCTTTTCCTTTTTAAAACTGTTTCTATGATTTTTTGCTAAATGTTTTTTCCTACTACTTTGTTATTTGATAACATGTAAACCACAACTACTACTAATTCCAATTGTTTAAAATATAGTGTAATTTCTATCATATATTCACTTATTTTCTTGACAGCACCTACATGCTTCTTTCATTGTTCATCAATCATAATTCCAACACCTGATCCTTTCTTCTTATCCTTTGCTGCACTTGTCCAAAAACCTATGTATCTTTTGTTTACTGCATGTGTTAGAAATTTTCCTTCTCTTTTTGTAAGATTCATCTCTATAATTCCTATTATTGAAATTTCTTCTTCTTCTGCCTAGTTGAGCAGATTTTTCAGTTTCCAACCTTTGGTTTTGAGTCCATTAATATTATGACATACCACCTTTATTTCCTTTTTTTTCTCTTTCTATTTTTCTTTTAAAGGTCTTTGTTTTGTCTTTATACTTCCTATTTTCTCTTTTCTCTGTTCGACTTTTTATCTTCTTGATAAGGAAACTTTATTTCTTTTCTTTTTTCAAACACCTTTCTTTCCTCTTGTAAAAAATTTTCTATCTCTTTGTCTAAATTTATTGGTTCAACTGTGGCATCTTTAGGAGCAGTTAGATTGATCTATTCTATTTCTTTTCCTTTTTTTCTCTAGTTTTTCTAATCTTTCTAGTATTTGGTCTAGGATATTTTCAATGTGAGAATTTCTTTTTTGATGTTGAATTTGGGTTACTGTTTTCTTTTTACTCTTTTCTCGCTTATGTGTTTCAGTTGTTTAGCTTTCTTTATCTTCTTCATATATATTATTTTTGTTGATCTTCTTTTCTCATTTATTGCTTCTATTATATCTGTATTTCTCTATGTCAGAGATTTCACTAATATTATTACTATTGATGTGTTTTGTGTCTGTGTTTTCTTCTTTATACTTTTGCCAAAAAAGTAGATGGTTGTTAAATCTTATCGGCTTTGTCTGTGCTGCTTCTATTTCTTCTATTGTTGCAAAAGTAATTGTTACTGATTTTTTTTGATTTCCATTTCTGTTAGGTAGTATATATACTGATCTTGCTCCTCTTTTCTTTAGACAGCATAATAGTAATACTTCTGATGCATTACCTAGGAGCTTTGTTAACCTTGTTGTAAATTGACTTTGCATATTATGTTGATTATAATCTTCTTTATCTAACATTACTTTTGCTAGTCTATGTACTCCTATTGGTAGTAACCATGGAATCTTTTCTTTCTCTATTTCTTTTGTTTTAACTACTGCTAATGCTTTGTACTTGAATCTTTTAATATATTCTATCTGAGCTTCTTTGATGTTTTTGCATATATGTTTTACTTCTTCTGTGTTGATATTTGTTAGAAGATTCCATATTATTATGTGTAACTCTGCTTTTAAACCCTTTTCTATTAAGTGTTCTGCTTCTTCATAGTCCACTTTTTTTTGTCTAGTATAATTTTTTGACTTTCTTTCTTCTCTTTCTTTGTCTTTATATGCTTGCTGATGCTGTTTTCTTTCTTGTCTTTTTGGTTCTTCTGGAATGATTTTGAGCTATTTACCTTCTTTTTCTTTAATTCTTTCTATTATTGCATCTCTACTAAACTCACAGTCAAAGTCAACTTTTGTTCAACTATTACCTTTCTTAAAACCTTCTTGAATTGATTTGATGTAATGGTTTTCTTGAAAGATCTATTAGGTATATTTTAATCTTTTTTTCTTATTTTCTTCTAGTACTATATATGTTGGAATATTCACTTTAAAAGATTTACTTTTGTCATATATGAGTGCTGCCAAGGGAAAACCTGGAATCAGGCTTTCAATTATATTTTGTGTATAGTTGACCTCTCTAAGTGCCATCTATTGAAAAATCTATTATCAGATTTTTAATTACATTTTGAGGCCTCTGAAAAATTTAACACATGTGTAACACAAATATATTTTTTTCAATTTTACTGTTTATATGTAATTTTCTTTACAGTTAATAGCAATTTCAAACAGGTCACTCTTAAATCTGCTTTTTGTTAAATTTTTTGAGTAAATTATCTTTAATAGCATATGCCTTTCTGCTTGTATTCTAGGTTCTAGAGCATAAATAGTTTAATTAATATGTTTTCTTTTAAAAAGCATCATTGAATCAGTAAAGATACGAAAAAGACAGCACCTGAATGTTTTGAGTCAAGCAAATTTTCTCAAAACATTAAAACTTTATGAAAAAATTCTCAAGAACTGCCAATATAGTCTTGAAGATCAAGAGAATGCTTCAATCTGGATTTTTTAAGTTTAGTTTCATCTTTGAATTAATTTTAGTAAGCATTTTAGTAAGTGTTTTCTAGATGTATTTTTTTTTATACTTGTCATTAAGATTATAAACATTAAGTTTATTTTTTCTTTTGGGTTTTTAAGCTAGTGATTCTTAAGTTCTGGCTAAATCTTTTTTTTCAATTTGTTTTGGCTTGTGGATATGAAATGATTAACTGACACCTTTTTCTTTTTTTTTTATATAATAGCTTTCTTGCTTTCTGGCTTTATAATTGAACAAATTGTTTATAGAAGGTTTTCTTGTACTTAATAGGAATTAGAATCATCTAAAAATTCATAATAATTTAGTCATTCAACTATAATTATTTAATTTACCATGATTACATTAATGTAGTCAAAACTATAGAACAATTTTTATCTAATTAAACAGCTCTAATAGCACTTTTAAAAGTGTTATGCTTGTAGTAAATATAATATTGAAAATCAAGGATTGCAACAGGTACTTTTTGGGCTAGCTGTCTAATTATTAATTGTTGAATTATAAACTTTATGCTGATCACAATTTTGGTTGGATTAGAGTAATTTAGATGTTAGAGTGTATTAGAGTGCCTAGAGTTAAGTTAGAGGTTAATGTTAGATAGTAAATTGTAGATGTAATAATTTAAAATATTCATTATACTGAAGTTTGATTATTGCACAATGATTAATATATTGTATTATAAAAATTTTTATATAATAAAAATTATATATCATAGTAATTGTAAAAATGCATTTTATTTTATTGATTTGTAAATAACATTTAATACATTGAATAAAATTTTAATATACTAACAGTTATATCTGCATTAATAATAAATAATTATTAAAATAATCACAAAGTTTAAAATTTATTTTTAATTGCAGAAAAACTATAAAAATATGGTATATTGTACTTAGCTATAATTTTCAATTCTATTTAATCAATACTTTTAATTAAAATCTGATAAAACCTTAATTCAAACTAAAATTTCTTTAAACATACCTAATTGTAACACCTTATAAAATGGAATTTTCTGAAAGTTTAGAGTATTTTCTTGATAATTATAACTATAGTTTTTCAGAATTAAACTCAGATGAGTATGTACACTCTGATGAAGAAGAAACTTCTCAATTAGATGAATCAAGTAATAAAGAAACTATGAACAAGGAGTCAGAAAACATTATAAGTATCTCTGAAATAGCTATAAATGAATGTATTAAAAAACTTCAACAATGCTGTTTATGTAAGAGAAAATGTAGTGAAAAGATTTCATCAGATTTGCTACAACATTTAGTATTGGAAAGTCTTTAGATAAATAAAAAGCAATGTTGTTATTCAATGCTAATACTTATTTTATCCTTCAATCCTAATTTGCTTTCTAAACAACTAATTAAGAACTACTGATTACCTTACTTTGGTGATGTTTGTTCTTCTTTTTTTTGAACATTTTGGGAATTTGGTTATGATGCTTTTTATTATCTAGGTAGTTGGATCAGAAAGCATGAATTAATGCTACCATGACTTCATGAAAATGTTGTTCAGCCATCTAAAAATATCTTGCTTAATAAAACTGTTAATAAAGTAAAACTTTTTATTAAATCGATTGGAGAGCAGCAAGGTGAAGCATTGGCTGTTAGAAAATATACTAGAAAAAGAGTTGATAGAAAAATAACTGTTAGTTATGAAAAAGATAATGTTGTTCTTCTTTTATCTCACTATTCTTATATTCGTCTCCTTGCTGTTTACAACTCAATGCATCTAGAAAAGCTTATTAAAAGTCATATGACTTTTCAAAAAATATGAAACCAAAATACCAAGCTTAGTAAAATATTAATTAGAAAGCCATCCAAGGATGTTTGTGATAAATGTATTCTATATAAGCATGCATTGAAAGAAAGTATTAATAATACAAATGAAAATATTGATCAACAGTTAACAATGCATATATTGGATTATCAGGCAATGAAAGATATTTATAAAAATAATATTAAAGAAGCAAAAACCTGCGATCATTCTTTATTTTGTGTTTTCTCATTTGACTTTACCCAAAACATTGAATTGCCTCATAACTCCCAACAACCTGGAAGTTGGTATTATTGATCATTATTAAAAGTGCATTAGTTTGGTTTCATAGATGAAGGTATCGATAAACATTGGCATTGTGTCTATACTGAAGGCAAAGCCTTAAAGAAGGCAAATGAGGTTACTTCGATGTTATATTTTTTTCTTATATCTAAAATAGGTAAAGCAAAAGAAATTTGATTATGTGCTGATAATTGTGGAGGTTAAAATAAAAATTTATGTCTTCTTTGGTATCTTCTTTGGTCCTGTAATACTAAAAGATTTCATAAAATTGAGTATCGATTTCAAATTAAAGGTCATACAAGAAATTCAGTTGACCTAGATTTGGTAGTATAAAATGTATGTATGCCAAATCAGAAGCTTGGTGTATTGCTCATATAGTCAATATAATAGAACAAAGTGCAAGCAATAACATTTCTATAAATTTTAAAAAACAAAAGGAGATTTTTCATGACTGAACATCAAAACTTAGCACATTATACTGAAAACCTCCTGCTATTTAAAAGTATCATTTCTTTCAATTTAATCATGAAAGACCTGATATAATCAGAGCTAAAATAAGGATTAGTGATTCTTGGGATGAATTTCAATTGTTAAAAAAAAAATGCTGATCTACTTAATCTGAATGCTTGGAATGTTCGAGAGCTTTTGTCAAAAGGTCTTCTAAAAAAAAAACAGGTAGATCTTTGGGACAAAATTCGTAAATATTGTCCAACTGAATTTCAAGATGAACTTTACCCAAAGCCTTTAGATAATATGATAGAAAGAGTAAAAGAGAAAACAAAAAGAAAAAAAGATAATAATTAAAGCTGTTCAAAGTTAATTTTTTGTTTTGCTTTTCAAAGTTCTAATTGATCTGTCAATTTTTTTGTTTGTTATTAATTTACTCTTATTTACATCCAATTCCATCATACAATCATACATATATTTTGTTCATTGATCGTTTACCATTCGAATCTTGCTAGTATCACCAAATTTGTAACATACTTTAATTTCTTTAAAATAGATTTATTAAACTAATTAAAATAAATATTATTATTAAACCATTTAGTTATTGTAAAAAAAAAAAAATAATAATAATAAATCTGGTTTTTAAACAATTTGGGTAAATGGAAAAAATTAATGTTGTACTGCCTAATAAATATTAATTTAATTGTAACAAATTGAAGTGTTAGCTAACTACAGAACTAGAGAAATAAATAAATAATAATAAAGTCTAAATAACATAAAGGTAAAATAACAATTCTAAATAACAATAAAGATAAAATAACAATAAAGACAAAAAAAAATAAAATTTGATTGCATTTTTGTAACACAGCCTACTAAAATAGTATTTTTAATTACTTATCATATATTGTAGATTTTTTAGGAGTCAAAATGTAATTGAAAATCTAATGATAAATTCTTTATAGACAGCACTTAGGAGGTTGACTATACACAAAATATAATTAAAAGCCTAATTTTAGGTTTTCCCTTGGCAGCACTCATATATAGTTTTTCAGTGACCATTGACTATTCTCTATTGTGTCTGTGAGTGTTAGTGTTTCTTGATTCTTTTCCTTTGCTTTTAGCTCTATCATTTTCTTATCTATATCTTCGATGTTTTTCCTTAAGTTGTATATTCTGTTATCTATTAATGTTTCTTAGTCTTCTTTAGTTTGTTTTTTTTTACTGTTGGTCTTTTCTTTTTGTTGTACTCACTGATAACATTTCTGAAACTGTATCTTGAAAGTTATTAGAACTTGGTTGTTGTGTAATTGAGATACTCAGTTCTTTTATTTGTCCTATAACTTTCTTTAGATCTTGGTTTATCTCTTCTTTTTTACTTGCTTGTTCTTGGTTTCTTTCTTCTTTCTCCAGCATAGCAATTTCTTTCTTTTCTGCTTCTTTAACCTTTCTGGTTTTCTTTATTTTTGTTTCTTTTTTAATTGTTTTTTTCTCATTAAAATTCATTTGAGGATTGAAAGAACCTGGGTTCACATCTATTGCTAATAGCTTTGTTGCCTATTCTTTGATAATATTATGTGACACTATGCACACTTTAGCTATTCTAAGCACTTCAAGAATTTGATCATAAAGAAATAAATCCTTTACTGTAATATTTTTTAGATCATAAACTGCTAGATCTTTTGTTATATATTCCAGGTTATCTGGATTTCTAATATGTTTTGACAAAATTTTATCTAGTATCTTACTATCTATATGTCTACAGTTTCTATCTCCAAACCTTCTGATATATTGAATTAAATCTGTGTCCAATGACAATCCTATTCTTGTTTGTATTTCCATTTCTAGACTTTTTTATTGCTTGTTCATCTATTTGTGCCTGTGTTTATACTTATTTATATTTTCTAATATAGTTGTTTGTTGTTTAATGTAATGTACTGTTATTTGTTGTTGTTTATATTGATAGCTGGTCACATGCTCTGTTGTTGTTTTTTAGATCTAGCATACTTTTTTAATTTTCCCAAAAATTTGTTCAAAAATTCTTAAAACTAGAAAAAGTTTTGTTTCTCAAGACTTTGATTATATTGTTGCTAAGACAAAGTATTTGTGTTTTGTATGCTGAATCTTTTTGCTTAGAGGTTTCAATATAGTTTGTTGTACTAGTTTTGTGTTTTCTTAGTATATTATTTTAGTCATGTTTTGAAAAAAGAGATCAGCAGAAAGAGTTCAATTTTTTTTTTTTTTTATAAAACTGTTTTATTATTTTGCTATTATGTTACTATTATATTACTTATATTAACAAACCTTCTGTTATTTTACTGTTATTTTACTATTATACTGCTATTAGTTAACAGATATAAGATAGAATAATAATAAAGTTTTTTTTTATTATTTACTTATTATTCATTTTTTATTCATTTATTTGATCTATGTTGTGCTTTAAAAATGTTTTTATGATATAAGTAGATTACATATACAGAAGGTTTAAATAAGCAAAACCCATAACTGACTTGCAGGTATGACATCTAGTATAAAACTTGTATAGTAAAATATAACTAAACTACTTAAATTAGATACCAAAAATACACATGTAACTAGTTGTAACCTTCTATGTAAGAAAGCCTCTAAAAGCTCTTATTTCTAATAATACTTGAATAAAAATCATTTCTCAAAAATAGAAACTTCAAAATAAAAAATAATAAAAAAAAATAAATAAAATATTTTATAAGTAAACTGCATCTCATATTATTAATAATTTATTGTACTATTTAAAAAATACTAAATTTAATTTAAAAATCTGCCTGAAAAACAGTTTAAAAAATAAATACTAATCTTCTTTGAATGTAAATTATCTTTTATAACTTAATGTTCTACTAATAAGTATCCAATAAGATTGCCAATTGAAGATTCAGTTTGATATGTTTGTTCACATTTTACCTCAATTAATGTTTCAATTTTGCAAATAACATCTCTTTCACACCATTCATCGTCTTCTTTATAAATTTCTAGATGAAAAAACTTCCAGACCCAGCTACTTCTATTTGACAAGTCAACTTGAAAAACAGTACTAACAGAAGTTTCGTCCTAAGGACGATGAACAGCAGCAGGGTTATTAATCGTTTAGTGTTTTTTTTTTTTAGTAATTTCGTTCATTGTTATACATATAAGGATCTACCGCAAGGTAGCTTTTTAAAGTTGATTACGAATTTATTTATAAAATAAAAATGACCTCATATACTCCGGATGTATCCGATGCAGATCATTTTCTCAAACGGATTATCTGTTATCTGCTTAAGATGATTTCGGATCGCATCACTAGCTCTAATGAAACCTTCTATATGGTTTTTTTTAAAAAGTACTCTAAACTTTATAAATAATGTAAAATTAAATTGAATTTATTTCCTATATCCTAAAATGTCAGGCCGAATCGGGCTCGGGTAGCTCGACCCGATTCCGGACTCTAATTTATTGGACTGTTAGTCCATTCAATTCTAACTCGTCAGTTTTAAAGAAGTTTGTCTGATTGGCTAACAAATTCAATTTAATTTTACATTATTTATACAGTTTAGAGTGTTTTTTTATTAAATTAAAAAAAAAAGTAGTATAGATGGTTTTATTACTCATAACCAAAAATAGGATTTAATCCTCGTCCGTTTAAAAAGTTGGAATAGTTAATAACTTCTCAAAACCCGATAAAATCAACTTAATACTAAATTAAATTTTTTTAAACGGACGAGAATTAGATCTTATTTTTGACTATTGAAACCCTCTATATAATATTTGAATCTATTAGCCAATTAGACGAACTTATGTCCTGTTACAATCTAGCAATGAATCTATACAAATTTGTTACTACATAAAAAAATATATACATTTTTGGATCCAATAACAACGCTGGTTGGAACCAAAATGTTGAAATGAAAAGTTAATTTATTTTTTTTGTAGGGAACAAAATTTTTTAATATTATTAACGGTTAAACGAGACATTTTTTCTCGATTAATTATTTTATCAAAGCATTCAAAACTTCTTTAACATCAAAACGTTTCAAAAAAAACAATAGAATTCATTCATATCACAAAAAAAATAAAAAATAAAATTAACGCAAAAAATCTTTTTTTTTATTTTTTACGCGATAGTAAAATAGGTAACAATAACACTTGTAATAATAAATGTTTATTACAACCTGAATAATCAGGAATTTTGATGTACGTAAGCCCAAATTATTTGTTCATAAGCCCAATGCAATTTCTTTTTAAGTAATCCCTAAAGCTAACACTAAACCAGAATTTGTTAATTTACATTTTATTAGTATAAATAGAAAAGATATGATTAACGAGATAGATATTTAATTACATGTATATCGTGACTCGATTTTCTATTCTTTTCTCTATTGATCATGTAAAATTTATAACTTGAATGTATAATAGAATGAATTTTTTAGTGAAAGGAAGGATATTTTGTTTTATTTTGGAGAGTACTTTGATGATATAAAGTTTAATTCATTAATTTTGAAAGAGTTGATTGCTCGTAAATATAATTTTGTATACAGTAAAGGTTTAGTGTTAAAATTTAGGGTGAAAAATAAATTTTCGATTTTTATGTTGAGACCTAAAGGTGCAGATATGCTGCTGTAACTTGCTTTAGTTATCTTGAATAGCAGAAAAAAAATGCCACAATTAATTATAGTTACGACAAAGTTACAGAATTATGCCTGCACCTCTAGTTAGGATCAAAAGCAGTGTTGAATGTGCAAAAACGAAAATTATGCTGAGAGATTGGTGACAAATGGCGAATTGTTAGTAGACACAAAGATGAGGTGTTAAGTTAGAAATCAGAGTATATCGATATTGTTATTATCTAATTTCACAATTTACCACAATCTACGTAATATTGAATAACACGTTGTTAGAATCATTAATGCTAGGATACATAACAAGTGACATATATATTTGATATTTCAAGGTTATTAATGTATACGAATGTGGTGAATTGTTTTTTTTTTTTGAAAATAAAAACAACGATAAACAGGATTTGTGTAATCAAACTAAAAACGTGGCTTTCACTTTTAGTTTTAAATTAAGATTGCGTACGGATTAATTTCGATTTTAAACAATTTTACAAAAGACCTTTCTTATCATAAAAAAAGAAATGTCTAGAATAATTCCTTCATTAATTGCTATCATAGTATATCAAGGGATATATCTTTTGGCAGGATTTTATCAAACACTTACCATACAATATTTATATTATCAAGGAGCCGCTAGTATGTTTTTTTTTGTACTGAAAATTTAAAAAAAAAAATTTTTTTTTGAAAAAATTGATCTGAAATATAAATTTATATTTGTTATATTTTGTTATAATGATTTAGATGAAAAAAGGTACAGATTTGATTATACCAAATTTTGAACTAAAAAATTCTTACATAATTCTAACTTATTCGTTATCTCTACAATAAATTTCACTGTTTTAATACTGATCACATTTTTCTCAGCCTCTTGGTAAACTTCACACATTATATTGGCGCAGCATTGGTTGGGATATTGCTTATGCCCGCATGGTTTGCAAAAAGAAAAGTAAATGAACCCATCATAGATAAAACCGAGGATCCAGAACTTGATATGGTTAATATCTACCATTTTTTAATGCCGATTTAATGTTGAATTAGTGTTGTATTAATGTTGAGTTAATATTGAATAAATTTGTGTTCCATTTGTTTTATTAGGTAACGAAAGCTCTTAAAGATTATCAGTTATTACCTGAAGATGAAAGTATGACGAATGGCAGCAAATTATCAAGTCCAAAAGAAGTTGTCAACTATTGCTTTATATTTGCTGTCTCTTTATTGGACATAATGGCTAATTTTACGTTAACATTGGGTCTTTTTTACGTTGGGAGTGGTGTAAGTAAATGATAAATATTATTTATTGGATGCTATGTACGCAGCCAGATAAAATGAATCATTTTATAAATAATTCTGTTATTGAATGCTGCTTTGCATCCAATAAATATATAATATAGAATTTTTTTTCTTTTTTTTTTGCAGTAACAAGTAATAATCAGCCTTATTAAAAAAATATATATAAAGACGTATCAAATAATTCACAGTTCGATAGTCATCTGGTGTGCAATTCTCTCATTTCTATTTCTTGGAAGAAAACTTTCACGAGTACAAACATTATGCGTTATTGGAGTATGTATCGGACTTTATCTTAGTTCTTTAGGAGTTTCACAAAATTCCGTAACTATTATCAAAAGTCCTATGATATTTAGTTCAATTAATATATCACTTACAATGCTTGGTTTAATATTAACATCATTTGCAACATTTGGAAGTGCATGTGTTTACGTTATACTTGATCAATTATTAACAACAATTCGTGTACCTAATGAACTTCCACCTTCACCAGCAAAAGCATGTTTTTTAATAGGAACTATTAATTCATTTTTAGTTATGATATATATTATAATATATACAATTCCTAATTGGAAAGTACTTATAATAGATGATATGGAAAAGAAAAATGAAAATTCTTCAAATATTTTTTTAATTATTATATCATATTTGATGTTAATTCTTGCATCATTTTTTCATAATTTTTCGGCTTATTGGGTAGTAAAACATCTTGGTAATGTTACTTTAGGTTTATTAAATTCTATTAGAGCTATTATGGTATTTGGATTTAGTCATGTTTTATTTTGTAATGTTGATAATGGTCAATGTTTTACTATTTGGAGAGGTTTTGGAGCTTTTGTAGTAATAGGATGTGTAACTATTTTTTCTCTTACAAAATTAAAATATAAGTATAATCAATAATATATAGATATATATATATATATACATTTTTTTTGTTTTATGTAAAGTGATGAGGAGTTTTTTTTTATTTTTTATTTTACATTGTAATGTTGTTGTTGCACTTGTTTATCATTTCTATAGTAAGCTAAATATAAATTTAACAACTATAATAAAAACCAAAATCCGGGGGGTTTTTTTTATTCATTTAGAATTCTATGATAAACCGATTCTGACTCTCTTAGTCCAACTCTTTTAGTTCTGTAAATTAAGGATTAAAAAAAAAAAACTTTGTTATAAAAAAAGCTAACGACAACAACAACAACAACAACATTATTAAATAGATTCATGATACAATAGTTATTTTAAATAACAAAAATAAATAAATTAATTAAATTAGTTTTAGTTGACCAAAAAAAAAGAAGTATCATAAATTTAAAAGAACAAGATTAACATCGATTTTTTTTATCTAAGAAAGAACTGCAATCTCGGGTTTTCTGATTGAATTAGGTCGGAAACTTGGAATGCTGTCAATTTTTACAGTCATTCCATGATATTTACGGAATTGAAGACCGACTAACAATATATATTTTAAATAAGGTTAAAAATAATTATTGTATATATGTACGTGTATAAAAAAAAATTTTTTTTTCTTTTAATTACCATATTCACGTAATCCTTGATCAAAAGTATCAGATGTTTTCCAAGCATATATAAATGTTATCTAAGAAAAAAATAAGAAATTGAATTATTAAAAATACTAAAGATATTTAAAAAAAAAAAATTTAAAGATATTAAAAATATCTGCTTACAATTCCTAAATAGCAATATGGAACCGCTATTATATCGAAAACATCAGAAAAAAATAAATAAATATAAATATATAAATATATATATAATATAAATAAATAGTTGGATCGAAAAAAATAAACATACCAAAGTATAAAAGAGCCCAAGCACCAGATGCAGCAAAGAAAACTGAACCAACAAGAACAGCAAACCAATCAACCATTGTGATAGACCAAATAAGAGTAAAGATTTTCATTAAAAATTTATCTTCTTTTGGAACCTATAAAGTAGTACGTATACAGTTAGTATATGATATTAATATAATGATAAGATTAGTACGTATATGATATATATATATATATATATATATATATAATTACCGCGCGATTGACAATATATTGGGCTGAAAATTGTACAATAGCAAAAAACATTTGAATGATAATTAATATTCTAGAAACATCGTCTGCCGTATTTGAATTCATAAAATGTATGAATAAACTTATAGTCATGCCCATGACAACTAACATAAAGAACATGTTAAGTTTCATTAACATCATAAAGAAAAGTCGTATTTTAAAAAAGACTATTAAGAAAAAACAAATGTTAGTACCAAATTTTAAGTATGTAAAGAATTTTTAAATAAAAATTCAAATACAAATTAAATTGAATGACGTATATTTAGTCAAGATACCTTGCATCGTTACATCAGAACCGATCTTTTTATAAATTTTTCCAGCAAGTTCATTACTAAGTTTATAAGCGAAATAACCCATTGCAGCAGCAAACATTAAAGAACAGATAATGAAAGGAAGATCTAATGAAACATAGTTTGGAGTAAGATTTGTAATTTGTGAAGTACAAATATCATTTGTTTCGTCAACTAATCTTTTAACCTCAACAATATGTATCTAAAATTAAATGAATGAATTAATAAATTAACGGATGATAATCAATGTGAAAATGAAAAAGGTTTACATATCATGAGAAAAAATTGATACCTACGAATCCATACAAAGAAACTATTCCATTCATAACAGCAATAGCAATAATTTGGGTTACGTATTGATTAACTATCTAATAAATTAATATATATAATATAAGAATAATATAATATAATATAACATATATATATAATAATAAGTTATATATTTATAATAAGTTAATAGATTTTCTATAGGAAATTAGTATAAAATGAAAGTTAAACATACCGCATTTAAAGCAAAATTAAACTGGAAAATTTGATATAATATGAGGAAGAAAACTTCCATAACGAATATAGACATTTGTAATGAAGATTTTCTCGAAGAGAGATAGTCCGTACAATTATTAGTCACATCAGTATTATTATCCATATTGTCATTAAATACGAGATTAAATGAACGATTCCATAGTCTTAAATAAAAGAAGGTCATAACCAAAAATTGGATGAATGAAGTTATCACGAAAGATTCAGTATTTCGTGATTCATTGATCCTTCGAAACTATTAATGAACGATAAAAGTAAAAAAATTAGTTAATAAAAAAATGAAACATAAGTTTTTGTAACCCAAACTTGTTTCGACACTATTTGGCACTTTCGGCACATTTTGATCGGGATTTGGGATTTTGTCAATATTCAAAAATTATGACATATTCATCGTAATTAATGTCACTCAAATAACAGAAAATATTATTGCTATTTGGGACTTTGTTACGGCAGAATCCCAAACTAGTTTCGGTATTTGACGAAACTATTAGGTTTGGATTACATCACTATTTTTAACATCATCTGCTTGCTTACCTTCTTCAACCAACTATTTCGTGAAAACCAAGTCATCTTTGACAGCAACAAATTATAATATGATAATATGATGCGTTATAAAATATAATTATTTGATAAATTATAAATGATTTAAATACGATCATACACAGTCACTTAGGAGAAGGACTTAAATCACAATAAGCATGAAAGTTCACTCTATTAATAAAAATTCCCGACCTTTAACCATCTATTTGTGTATATAAATAAATGTGAGGGGTTTTAAAAAAATTTATCATGATTTAATAAACTTTGAAAAAAAACGATCATAAAGAATGAAATGTGTTTTCAGAAATCATCATATGTTTATAGTTGAGATGGTCAAAGGTCAAAGTAGTTCATATATAATTTAATATAATGGTTTAACATGATTTTAACCATAGGGGTAATACGAAATAAAGAAGTTGATTTTCCTTGATTATACAGTTTATATCGATGATATTATTTTGAATGAAAGATTCGGGAAGGATACACCTTCTTATCTCTATGAAAATGAATCATAAAATGAAGCATAAAATATATTATAAAATACTAGGTATGTAGTAAGTACGAACGTACCAACTTGCGTAAATAACATACGTAATTACTGGTACATAGTCTCATTTTAAATGTGATTCCACGAGGAAATGATATACAAAGATGGAAATCCTTTATTAAAAATAGATGTACATATGTACACTGACTCTCATAATTATTGTTCCACCGCATTTAAAATTTTTAGAGCGTGATATTTCACGTTCTATAAAG